AAATAAAAAATTATTTATATTTTATGGTTATACAAATAATTAAAAATTTATATACCATATTCTGCATTTAAATCGTCATATACATCTAGATTAATTCCGGGGAAACCGTTCCACTGTTGCAAGCTCCAAAGTTAATATGGCATGTCCAATTTTAATAAATCACAAAGTTCCAGTGTACAAAAAAGTCAAAATTGTTTGAACATAAGTGGTGCTATATCATTAATTTCAATAATACTAGAATTCTTAGAGTTTTCGCACATTTTCTTAATTTTATCACTATCAAAAACTATATATTTGTGAGCAGGAAAAATAGTATCTCCCACCTAGAAATTATTTTGAATAATTTAAAACAATTTTATTTTTAATTAATTGTGAATCATATAATATCAGTACTTTGAATGCAACATCATGCAAAGAATCCTCTTGTGATGCATTTTCTAGTAAATCAAGCATTTGTGATTGCAAAACAGAATTAGATATATGTGAAACATAAGATGTTTCAATCACAGGATTTGCCTATTAAAACATTATAGCAATTAATGATAAAAATTGTAAATTTGCCATTAGTAATTATTTTCATTTAGTAGTACTTATGAATTAATTCAGGAATAATTTCTCATTATAATTTCGATTATTTATGAGTTGTTTTCTTGAAATGATTTAAATCTTTAAATTTAAATCAATATTTTAGATACTACTAATAAATTATACTCACCTGTACGATTGCACAATTTCTTCCTTTAATATCACAAACCACCGACACAGCTCTATATATATTAGGAATTCTTTGAACTTTAATAATGGCACATTCATGTTTGTTCAAAACTTAGTGAAAGAAGACTGTCGTGCATCTGTATTATTACCAGAAGAACTATCTTTTTTGGACTTGGAAGGTTTAAATTCACCTTTAAAAGCTTCCCCTAGGTCTGTTATTAAGTAAACATGATGCAAACTCACACATAAAGATCTTATAGACAAGGGCCTCTTGAGAGAATAAATGCATCTTGAATAATATATTACATTAATATTATGATCAAAAAAGTTTATTTTTTTAGGATAAATTACTACCTTACTAATTGTGGAGTAGATTCAGTCCACACAAATAATAAACCATCTGATGTCAAAACCAATATTCGCAGATGATCTCCACCTTTTTCTTTTAAAGTATGAGATAAAGCATGACTTGGGCTTAAATGTCCCCAATAACTGATATGATGCAATATCATTCTTCTAAAGGCAAATACACAAAAATTAAAATGAGAAAAATACATATATACACTATCAACAAATGTATATAAATATGTATATTTATATATGCTGCTATAGAAAAAATTATGCTAACTCTTACTTTGAGCCTATTTTTCGGCATTGAAACTCATGTAGAACATAAATATGTCCTGTTGAAGTGACAATAACTGTAGCCCCCCGTCACTAGTAGCAACTGATTTATTTCAGCAGCTCCTAGCCCCATTACCTTAGGATATAAATTTTCAATTAAAGATTAAAATAGGTGATCAAAATGTTTCTGTGAAAAGCTTAATTTATTATCATTTATTAATGATGCAGTGATAATGTAACCATATATTAATAGTAATACCTTTCTTGGCACATTGATATATTCTCCATCGTTTTATCATGTCCAAGTTGTCCTGCATTTAAGCCCCAAGTGAAAACAGCTTTTGGTCCCCAAGCCACTGAATGAAATCTAGCGGCACATACATTTTGAACAGAAGATAATTTTCCCTTTATATGTTTTGGTGAAAGTATCATTTTGGAGAATCCACAAGACCAAGCTGAGAATATATTTAAACCACAAGACCATACCTAAAAATAATACCCTTTATAATATGTGATACATTAATGTAATATATAATAATTTAATATTCAATTACCATTCCTGATTCCATTGCAAATAAACTATGATCACGGCCAGCGCTAATGCTTACGCATGGTTCTTGTGCAATACCTGACGCTATAAAGTTTATCAATCGAGGATATAAGACAGTATTTTCTGAACCATTTCCAAGTCTTCCACCTTGACCATGCCCACATGTGTACTCGCCCAGTATTAGTCAAAAATATTGTGTGAAATTTATTAAGAGATATCTTTAATACAAAAACTAAGGTTATTACTTTAAACTTATTATTTCTTATTATTATCTGATTCCAATGAAATTAACAGTTATAAGATATGGGATAATGCCTTAACTTACTTGTTTTATGGAAATATTTTCTTTTCGAAAGATGTCTAATAATCTGGATAACTACGCGATTGTTGATTTCCAATTCCAAGTGTGTAATTTTCATTTGAGCCCCAAGTATAAACTTCACCTGAGTTTATAACTTTTAAATTTTGTGGAGGATATCTACGATATCTTAATATGAATCGAATTATTTGTTTAAACATATTTAAAACTTTAATAAGACATCCTACCTATCTCTGATAGCATAATCAATAGCAGTTAAATGACCATTGTCATATATATTAAGTTCAGCACCTAGTTTCAATAAATTCACTGCTATATGAATTTGTCCATAGAATACAGCACGGTGTAAAGCTGTGCAGCCAGATTCTTTGTCGGCAAAGTTCAAATTTGCACCATGCACATGTACTAAATATTTCATTAGCTTCAACCGACCACAAGATGCAACCAAATGTAAGGCAGTTCTCCCCTGATAAGTAAAATTAAGAGTTTCACAAACACAAGTTATTGTTATTCATAAGAAAGTTTCAAAATTGTTACTTCTGTGTCGTTCACTTCTCCGCAATTGGTACACATCCAGTTCAGGTAAGCACCCAACTGTTCATCTGTTACTGCACGTTTTGTGAGTGCACTTGTTATTTGGCATCCATGATCAGTTGATCTACACAATAAAGTGCAATCATGCTCCAAATTATTAATTATACCCTTTGTAACTGCCATTTTCAACTGCAGTATCAATATCAGTGACAAAATATAAGGTCTTAGTGTGAGTTTTAATTGTTAGGTTAACAGGAAACCTATTTGGCACATTCTCATATTAATTCTGTTATTGATAAAATATCAAGCCTCAATAGATGATATAAGTATTAACTTTTACCTTTTTGATAAATTATTTGAAGTCTACGAAATATTTAAATTAAACCTACACTACATAAAGATGAAGGGTGCCCATTTAGGGCACCTCTTATTTATAATCCAGCCATAATTGCAAAGTATTTCACCTGTAACAAACAAAAAATTAATACAAAACAAACTTTATTAATGATTTTTAAATTATATCATACCTGGTTATTGAATACCGTTGAAAAAATATAATGAACTGTATGTATTTAAAGACATTGTATCAGTTTATTTAATTAAATACTTTGGAAATGTAATGTTAACAGCTGTTAGATAAAATTGTTTAAATAAATAACTTTTATTAATAAGACAATTCAACACAATACAGAGAATTTACAAAAACTAGTTAATTCTTTAATAATTATTATTTATCGTAGTATTTTTTTATAACTGTTTACAAAAACAACCACTTTTTCACCAAAAAATTGCATAACATATATTTGGCTGAGGAATTTATATCAACGCCAGGTTAATTTTTAGATACAAACGTCACTTTTTGTATAGCTCATCAACCAACTAAAGCAGGGGTATATAACAATTTACTTGAAATGTTTTGTTTAACAAAATTGTTATCTATCGAATATAAATACGAATATTTATATAATAATAAATAATTTGTATTCAGAAATATTCATGAAAAATCATAGGCTTTTAAAGGCTAAAGCAAATGAGTTTTTAGTAAATAGAAACACTTTGTTAAATTTTTCATAGTTACGGTTGGTTGCACTTTTGTATTGCGCATCTTCAGATCTGTCAATCTGTGTATCACGAATACATTTGTCAAATTGACATTTCGCAGTTATTTTTGTTTAGAGAAAACATCGTTAGTTTTACAACAAACAAATCTAAGTTTTAGTGTTACAAAATCGATAAATCTAATTTTACCTTTTTATTTAAACAGTATACCTATTCAGTTTTAATCATATTTTTTAAATATGTACTTCAAGTAGATATCAAATACTTTTTTATATTCTATTTAACGTTCATTTAGTTTAAATATATTAGTCCAAAATGTTGCACGAGGTTTTAGTGCAATTAATGACCTATAATAAAAATAGTTTAGATGTTATTTCAATGCTGGCAAGTGCTCAATTGATATAATTGAATTTTTACATTATGATTGGCTACTAAGCAAATTTTTTATTTTACAGAATAATCATGAAAATGAATTTCTACATCCGTGTGAGCTTCATATATACAAAGAAATAATGAAAATAGCAGCTGAACACTCACTACTTTATGAGTTTTGTCGGAAATATCAATATAGAGCAGAAAATGAAAGTTAATATCATGTTTTAATTACTTACTACTTGCTTGATATTGATGAGTATGATAAAGATAAGAATTGGTTAATGTTGCACTCTTTTTAATAATCATTTAGTTTTGATTTTGTTTGCAACAAATACATTCATTATTCATAATAAATGAATCTTTGATATTCACTATTTTAATAAAACAGATAATTCAGAGTTTGAACTACCTAAAGGACTATTTTTACAAGCTATATGCAGAGGAGTGGATTTGGCATTAGCTCCTTATCGCCAAGAAGTTGTAGAATTGGAAAAACATGCTTTAATGAACCCAAAAATGACCCTTCTGATGGTTTTATCTAAGGTTATTAGTTGAACATTTGTTCTCCATTAATGAACTCTTTTATTCACTAATGTTTGTGAACACCTAATACAATTAACTTTATTCATCAAATATTTACATAGATGAGTCCATATAAAGAGCTGCTTCATATTTTGAAATATATTGTATCAAGTATTTATGAAAAACGACTTCATGGATGCCAAATTTTGCATTTAGTTTATTGTGAACTTTTAACAGGATCTGAAATTGAAGGAAGAGCAGTTAGAATGTGAGTAATACATGTTGCATATTTAATTTTTGTATTGAGATATAATATGAATATCTTTTAGAGTTTTTCAAGAAGTGCAGAAAATTTTATACAAGCTTCTAGCATATTGGTTATTTAATGGTGAATTAAATGATACATACAAAGAATTTTTTATAGAAAAAGTAAATTTAATGGAGGTTTCCCTCATTCGACCGAATGTAGATGATAGTTCAGAGACAACACTTTTTGTGAGTAGATATTTATTTTGACCATTTTTTAATGTTATGTTTTTATTATTATAATTGTTTGCAGGAAAATACAAATTCATTAGAAACTCAAAACTCAGAATATCAAATAAATACAAGAATGCTTCCAAAGTATATGCCTGAAAGTTTAGCAGCTAATATATTATTTATAGGGCGTACTATATCAATGTTTAAATCAGATCCTAGACAAGATAAAACAAATGTTTGGGGAGACGTTGAAAAGAATTATTATAAAAAATTAGCTTCGATACAAGAAAGGAATGATTTTAATATTTCTACTTTGGAAAGCACTATTATTGAAATAAAAACTTTTGTATCACAGGTGAAGTACTTAATATACAATTGTACTACATATATAAGGATTTTATAAAAAAAAACATGTAGAATTTATCCATTGTGTATTTATTTTTGCAGCATTTATTTCAACTTGTGGTGGAAGATGCAGATTTATTAAAACATCTCACTTATATAAAGAATTATTATTTTCTTGGAAGGGGAGAATTATTTCTTGAATTCATAAAGTTAGGCACAAAAATTTTAAATGAATTTCCTTGGAAAAATCCTACTGGTACTAGAGATATCAATGTCACATTTATTTTAGCCGCCAGAAATATGTTTATAGGTAAGTAGAGATATTCTCGTAAGTATTTCATATATATTTAAGCATATTTGCTATGTAATTTAGTTATATGATAATTATTTATTCAACATTGATCATTAGGTGATGAAGTTGATTTATTTCGATTTATTTTACCGTTTGAAAAGCAAGAAGATTCAACATTAGAACACAATTATTTGCCAATTCTTCCAAATGATGTGATTGATGGATGGTCCACATTATCACTAGAATATAAAGTGAAATGGCCTTTACATTTATTATTCACACCAGCTGTTATGGATAGATATAATATTATTTTTAGATTTTTATTGAAAGTGAAAAAAACGCAGTATGAGTTGCATCATGTCTGGATTGGACAAAGAAGTGAATCACACTTATATAGGTCTGACTAGATGATTTTTTATTGTTTTATTTAAAATCAATAACAAATTAAAAATATTGTTATTTCAGTAATCCAAAAGTTTGGCAACTAAGGCATCAATTAATATTTTTGATTGAACATCTTCAATATTATTTGCATGTAGATGTTGTTGAAAGTCAAATGAGTATTTTACTAAATACTATTAAAAATACAAGAGATTTTGATGCTATTCAAAGGGCTCATTCAATATTCCAGAGTAATGTTATGAGCCAGTGCTTTCTTCTCATAGGATCATCGGTGCGTTCAATAAATAGGGATAAGATTTAACCATATATTACTTATAATATCAGAAAATTCAATACAGATGAATATTGCAAAAAAAGTTTTTAATTAAAATGTATTTTAAAATTACAATTGTTGTTTCACCAATTTGAAACTTGAATGAAAAATAAAAAAACTTATATTATTATTATTTCACACAGATCATAGGACCATCTACAACAGATGAAACTGACACCGAAGTAGACAATCCAGTAAGTTTTAAATCTAATTCTTGTGTTATATTGATGTATAAGTGTTTGATTTTTAATAGTCATATTTTCTTAATATTTATTTGATTTGAAAATGCATGTATTTATAAAAAAATGAGTTCTGGCTCTGCTTATGATATATAAATCTAATAATTATCTATATATTACATAACACTATTGAATTTATATAAATATTAGTATATAGGATAATAATTCTGAATGAAGATGAAATTATAATAGAATTTGATTTTATAGGTCCATCAAATAATGAATAAAGTTTTTGAATCTTGCAATCGCTTCTGCATGGAGGCTCCAAAGTGGAGTGCAAAGGGAATAATGGATGAATCAGATTTGAAGGATCTCGAAAATATTAATACTTGGTATATATAAATTTTTTTGTGCACATATCTATTAAAATCCTCTTTGACCTTGATATAAAATTAAACTAGAAAAAATTTAATCAATCTAACTTGAGTACTTTCTATCTTTCAGCTTTGCAATTCTAATGGCTGCTCTTCTGAAACTTCTGTCAGCACTGAAATCACAACCTTGTGGAACTCATCTATCTCAATTATTATTAAGACTAGACTTTAATCGATGGTTTAGTGTATTGAAACACACTTCTGACCCCACCCCCAATGATTATGATTCTTTTGAAATTTAATTATTATTTAACACTGAATAAATATTTATTTTTTGTACAAAGTATAATGTGTATTATTGATATTGGTAGAATATATATGATCATTTTTTTATATCAGATATTTCATGACTCATGTAATAATTATTTTGGTATATCGTATCGCGTTTGTTAGGCTGGTGAAACAATCCGCCACGCTATTTCTTTACAAGACAAAAATAAACAAGCGGTGTATGGCATCGCGCTTTAAGGCAAATTGCTGGAGCTCTGTATTCTCGAAATGGCTGGACCTGCCTTTGCCAAAAACTAATCACCTTTTTTTCCAATCGTTACAAATTGAACGTTTTTTAGATCATTCAAAAAACTCGATTTGTATTTTTTGCACTATTTGCTCCGTGTCTCCGTAACGGCTGGACCTGCTTTTGCCAAAAACTAATCAGCACATCTCCCTATCAATAGGAATCGAATGTTTTTTGAACCATTCAAACCGGTTGATTCGTGCGCCCGAAAACGTGACCGAAAAATTGTATCCGTACATACATATACACACACACATTCATTTTTTCTGAGGTATGCCAAAAGGTTCAGAAACGTTCAAAACGTGTAGAAATGTAAAAATTTTCAATTCAGATTTTTGAACGATTACAATAACTTACCCTATGGGAAGTTAATACAAGAAATATATCAATTAAAAGTCGTGCTGATTAATTTTTGGTAAAGATCTTGGTAATTACTAAATTATTAATTGTTTTGACGATTTTTATGGAACTTTATATTGTGATAGAGTTTATGGCATTAATAAACATCCAGAACATCCTACAATGTTATATAGACCAACGAAAAGTGGTTTGATTATAAAATTTCATTAAAATTTGAAATAAGCTGCGCCAAAATTTTAAAATTTACGAAATCTCAATTTTTACTGATTGAGACGATTGTGTACATATTGGAAGTCTATATAAATAAACCCCTTTCTTTTGCCTATAGACGACATCCAGTGGGTCGACTGTTGCTTCAAGATTCATCACCCTGAGTTAAATTAATGAGAAATCTAACTTGTAATTGTCTTTAACACTTTTTTAGAATTGTCATTTTTTAATTTATTCTTATCGTTATTGATTGAAAAACCTTAAAATATTTTGTGTAACAAATACTTGGGCAACTTGCTGGCTAGTACTAAAAGAGTACACATTTAATAGCGCATAACTCAACAACGCCTGGATCAAATTGGCCAAATTATTTTTTTAAAACGTTCGTTGAAGTCCAAGGATGGTTCTTACGGCGAGAAAAAATCGAATAATTGCCGGGAAAACCCTGAAAACAGCCCTGTTCTTTTTCTCATACAAACGTTTTGGAACTAAAACGTAGAATCAATTTGAGCTTTATTGCTATTATATAAAGTTCATATTAAATTACAAGCACTCACTGTTTCATCCTTCTAAATGATTATTCGGATTTTGATAAATCTTTTGATGTTTGTTAAGAAAATTTTCTAGGATGTATGTGATTATAAAATACTGGGATGTATGTGCAATATTGTAGAAAGAAATGGAAAAATTGCGAAAAATAACATGTCATTGTTTGCATTGAAAACACATGAAAACTATCATCTAGCAAAAATTTCAATTTACTTATGAACGTTGACAATATTAAAATATGTATAATAAATTAATGATTATGAATAAGAAAAATAAAATGTCTACATTATTATTGCCAAAAAGCAGCTGAAATGTACCAGAAATTAAAATAATATAAGATACAGTATATGTATGGCAGATTGAATGATACACATATGAACAGGTTATGATAAATTAATTCACTTAAAATATGAAATTAGTATTAATCAGGGCCGGTCCTACCTTTAATGCGGTGCATGTGAAAAATACGAGCGCACGCCTTAGGGGGCGTCAACACAAGATTCGGATATTAAATTTTCAATATAGCTTTTTTTTCACTATATAATTTCTTTGCATCTTTTACTAATCTTTTCACAATATTTTTAAACTTTGTGAAAATTTCACTTTATCGATATCGATTAGGAGAAGTTTAAGATGCTCACGATATCGATTAGGAGAAGTTTAAGATGCAATTTTGGATATCTTAAATAATAAAAAATTAAATTAATTTAATCCAACATAAAGTACCAGTGTTATGCTATGGTTATGGTTATGTTATACAGTTTAAAAGACTTCAATTTCCAATATTGGGAATTGAGACTCATCATTTTATATAAAGCAGTTCTACATTTAACATCGCTCATTACTTAGTCATTAATAAAAATGATCGTAAACATAGTATTACAATACTAAAACAGTAAAGTATTATTTTGTCGATTTTTGTATCTGAGGTATTCGAAACTCTTCTAACCGATGATAGACCGCATGTGTTACATAACTATCAAGTACATAGAATGTACTTGTTAGCCAAATGGTTAAGAAGAGAATGTCTCGGCTCCGACTCTGTGTATCATCATTAAAAGCCATCCATCTCTACTTTTACTCTGCAGATAGTCTGTCGCGCGGTGGTAAAGTTCTTCTCGAAATCAATTCTTCAGTCTTTCATCTGACCTCTCTCAGTGCTGTGTGCTACTATTAAAAATCCGGTACCATTCGATACATTTTTGATATCATCTTCATCCCGAATTGTGTGTTATCACCGATGGTGAATTTTACTGGAAGAAGTTACCATCATGTATTATAAACGTTGAGTAAATAATAGTGGACTTGGATTTTTATATTTTGTGTAAATCATAAACGTTTCTCCCATAAACTCGTGTGCGCTGAGGACCGTTGAGTTTTAAAAAGTGAAGATGAAAGTCTTGGTAAGTAGTCGCTGTTGATTTTTCATATTTATTTGAATTGCGCGCTGAGGTATTGTTAGTTATTTGTAGATGAGTCGGTCGATAATGAAGTTTTTTTTAAAAAAAATCATTTATTCTGCGCTCTTTTAAAGAAAACAATGAGCAGAAATGGTTAACAATATATAAGAAGTAAGGTACATTAACATTTCGATGATATATTAAAAGATACGCCTAGTGGCCAATCTACTAGGATTATAATATAAAATGAAAGCAAAAAATATAATACAACAAAGAAAACAATATAAAGTTCACAAAGTTGAATTTTTTCATAATATTGTTGATGCCAAGATATGTGTGCCAGATAAAAAGGAAAAATATTCTTATAAAGAATTTAAGGGTTCTTTTTCAAAATAAATTACTTCGTAATATAGTATTCATTTAATAATTATTTAAATTGACAATAATTAAAATTAATAGCAAGTTAAAAATTAATTAGGCTTGCTCTAAGATAAATTACCACTAGTAATGATATAAAATTGTATGTCAAAACGTTTGGGAAAAATAAAGATCTTATTAATTTTTTCCTTTTTTTATGGACTGTCCTGATAAATTTGGCTTATATACATATACATTAGAATGGTCTTTAATATGGTCATTTTCGAATTTCCTTGCTCCCAAGGGCTCAAATGGCTCCAAATTGATAAAAAACAATTCTCTGAAAGTTTTAGCTTTTAATATTAACGTTTAAATAGAGTGCAATTCAATCAAACTTCGTATGAAAATAGCTTGGAAAAAGATTTCAAAATTTAAAAAAAAATGTTTTAGGTATAACTTAGCGACAATTGAGTGAGTTTTATTCATTCATTTGTTCGCTAAATTGCATCTAAAAAACATTTTTAAAATTTTTGAAAAATTTTTCATGCTATTTCCATACAAAACTTTGATTGAATTGCGCTCTATCTAAACGTTAATATTATATATATACATAAAAGAAAATGGGTAAAAATTGTACTGTATACCAAATATTTAATACAAACCATAATATATTAATAATATTTATATTTGTTTACTTTAATTGCCGTGCTAATGAATTTATTTTTTATCTTAAAATTTTAAGAATTTACTTAAAATACTATGTTGACCAGTTATTTTATTACTATAATACTTTACACATTTAAATCACTTAACAAATGAAATTTTATTTTAGATAATCAATGTCCTTTATTTTTATAACCAACTAGCCGGCCCGACAGACTTCGCCCTGTCAAAAAAAATTGTAATGTGGCGGTGTTTTGTGCCTACCTTTTTCTATTCTTTGCAAAAAATTATCCTGAACAGAACCGTCATCCTGGTAATAATTCGGTGTGAATTAAAAATAATTAAATAAAACACTATAAGCATTTAAAAGTAAGTAATTTTAATAATGTAAATCATAATTCAATTATCAGTTCAATTTTCATTGTAGTGCTTTGTGATAAACGATGTTTTTTGTTTGATTACCTGGCGCATAGACAAACAAATCTGATGGTTTTCCAATACGGGAACAAACAACATACAATTTTCCATGTGAGAAACATGGGTTTTCTAAATTAATACCACAAACACTTAATGATACCATAAACGCACTGGAAACGCATTGGGATGCATGGTGCGAGAACATCTTCTGCTTTATACTATCCTTTGAATATATTTGGTCGATATTTAAACAATATTATAAAACTGTATAAAGCCGATTGGCGTATAAATAAATAAATAAATAAATAAATATTTTGCAACATTGTAATTGCCGATCCAACCTTTAATTGAAGATTGTGAGGTGACAATCCTAGCAAATCCAGCGAGTTTAAAAACTCCGGTGGATCGTCTTGGTTAGTTGCCGAATCAACTGATTCGCCTGTAATTTGTTCTTGAATTTTGAAATTTAATTCATTTGCATCAATGTTTTTGGCTGCCAATATAGCTCATTAATTAATAGAAAGTTATTTCTATGTTTATATAAATATATTCAAAATTAGATTATCAAAAACTACACAAAATGTCATGACATAGATCATTGTTTTTTTTACAAATTGCGTTGCCTACTCGATTAAAGAAGAAAAGGGCTGTTTTTAGGGTTTTTCCGGCAATTATTCGTTTTTTTCTCGCCGTAACAACCATCCTTGGACTTCAACGAACATTTTAAAAAAAGAATTGGCCAAATTAGTCCAGGCGTTGTTGAGTTATG